AAAAATATTTATAGAATGTTATTCAGAAGTAGATAATTTGATGGATGTATCCAATGGGTAAATAAATAAAATTATTTTAAAAAAAGTTGCAAATTTATTTTCCTCGTATTTTTATTTACCCAAAAAAATATATGAATAGTGAACCACGTCATAGAGCATATCTTTTTCTTACACTTCCAAAAATAAGAGATTATCCATTATACTATCAAATCATCACAAATCCTATAGCTATGGACACTATTAAAAAAAGATTAAAAGGAATTTATTACAAAACAGTACAACAGTTTAAAGAGGATTGGCATCTAATGTTTAATAATGCTAGAGCTTTTAACGAAGAAGGATCACAAATTTATAATGATGCTGATAAGATGCAGGTAAAGTCAACAATTCAATAATAATAATAATAATAATAATATTATTATTATTATTTAAATTATTTATTTGATCAATTATTTTGCAGGAGGTACTTGATAAAAAACTTGAAGAACTTTGTCCAGGTGGTGAATTACCAAAAACTTCTACTGATGACATGATCTTATAGTAATTGAACAATGAATTAATTAATGAATGAATGCTTCTTTAAGTCGTTAATTAATTAAATTTTATTTAAAAAGATTTTTGTTTTGCTAATAAATGTATTTAATTTACAAAAAAAAAGAGCACTATAGACAATTTAAAAAAAAGATATATAGCACAAACAATTTTATAGATTTTTAATTTATTTCGCAATATTTTTTTTCAACTAATTGATTAAAAAAAAAAATCTTTTTTAATTAAAATTTTAATGTAATATAAAAGAAAATAAAATAGATTAGTTTTTTCACACAAATGATTTTTTATTATGGATAATTTGAAATTGAATACTATTTTATAAATTTTTTTTCTTTTCCAATATCGAATACTATTAGAGTTTAACTTTTAGCCAAAGATTTTTTATTTGATATTAAACTAGCCCGCAAACATTTTCGGTTGATTACATATTTGTCTTTGAAAAATTTCCTATCATTGACATATCACCAAAGAATTGCAAGAATCGAAGTTTACTCAAACGAAGGACTTGAGACTTCTTAGTGATTCAGATCTTTCAGGCCTTAGTATTAGGACATTGCGCATCTCTTAGACACAGCCATTGGCCGTTACTCAAATTATTTTGATAATGTTTAAGAACTCTTTTGAAAACAGACTCAGCTTCAATTGCTGAATTATAGACATTATCTATGATACATACATTCCAAACATTAGATTTTTTAATAATGCGTAATGTGGGATCCATAAGGCATTCTTCAAGATTCATCATTTCTTGTCCCTGCTGCATTTACTGATACTAAAAAATCATAAAAATCATAAAGCTTTGAAAAAGTAAACGAGGCTTCCTACATAAACTAGAAATCATTCTTGCAAGCTATATTTTTGCGCCTTTAAATCTAACTGAAACGATTATTGAATACGATACGTTACAATTTTTGTTTTTATCAATTTGTTTGCAAATATAATCCGACTGCCTTCAATTTACACTTTCAAAAAATACTTTACTATTAATTAATCCATATGGCTTCAATGGCAACGCGGAACAATATTCTCCCAATGAACTCGGCTCTCCAGTGAATGCTTTCCCTATCTTTTAAGTGATTAAGCCCCGATTGTATTTCAATGTTTTCATACTCTCGTTGAAAATTGTAAAGATTCCATTCAAGTTTATTTTATGAGATTTAAAAAAGCTTGAGCTACAAATAAACCTGGCGACTTTGATAATATCGGATTGGTGGTATCTTCATTCATACAAGAAGCGGATGATTTATTAAAGGATTCGGTGTTATAATCAAATGAATGTTTTGATGGCTATAAAGCTTAGTGTTGTTATAATATACTGATCTGGCCAGCGTTGGCATTTTTATATGTCCAATTGGTGCAGTAGCCGTTTGGACATTGGCATATTGGACTGTCCAATATGCCAACATTTGAAGATTCACAATATAAAATATAATGCTTTGGAATTCATTCTTTAACATCACGCATTTATAACTCCAACAAATATGCTCTTTATTTATATTGTAGAAATGCCTTGGGTCATGAAGTTGCTCACCAGAATAAATTTTTGAATAAAAAATATAGAATTAAGTCACATATAAAAATTGTGAAAATTTCAAAGTGGCCAAATTTCAAATTTTAAAGTTTTTCAATTCATCTATATATAAATATATATATGTAAATGCAATAATATCTTTAACACACAATATCAAATTGCATATTTAATAATGCCTAAAGACAATTTATTGGAATGAATACTTGAGTAAAATAAAAAATATCGACGTGTTAATGTTACTGTTACACGATTTTTAAAAAAGGATCTGTAGATGTCATAATTTCCAAATTTAAGCCAAATTCCTCGCGAACATAGTAAAATATATGTACTAAAAAGGAATAGAACTCAACAACCCATCAATATTTTGAAAAAACTCTCTGTCACGTTAAAGTTTGGGTCATAATCTGAGCTATTTTTTTAAAAATGATATACAGAAATAAACTTCTATTCTTTTAAAATCACACACAGAATTGGTGGTTTAAGAGGTCCCGCGCCATACTAATAGATATAATATGGGGCATGCTACAACAAAACCAGACAAAGTGAAAATTATGTCACACACTATTACAGGGATTCAAATTGCCTAATGTCTTTATTTTCGATTTTTAAAAAAAAAAGTATTATTGTTATAGAAAAATTTTTGCCATAATAAAAATTATCAATATTTTAAAAAATACTAGATTTAAATGTAAAAAAAAAACAAGTCCGTACTAATTATGAGCATTGTTATTATAAAAGCCATATAATATTGGCTTTTTTTTGAGAGGCATATTGAATGTTTTGATTAATCTTTCTATTTCATCAATGCCTTCACCATTTTCTTTGTCATCACCATTATTACTATTACCATTATCATTTTTCCCTGAGTGCTCTCTCAAGTAATTTAAAGTTTCGCAAACTTTCTTCAATCAAAATATTTAAAAACCTTAATTTTTTGAAACAGTTTAGAAAATTTTCACCAGCGAACAATTGGAAGTTCTATTTGTAGAATCTGATTCATTACAAAAAGAGGTGGTATCTTCCTTTCTAGCACATATACATCCATATTAGTTCCTAGTGGTAAAATTGTCAGTTTTTTATAATCATGGTATGCATATAGTTTATTGGAATTAGGAACATTACCATGAATGTGTAAAATTTTAATTTATTTAAAGTATTTAAAATGACCCTGTCAATAAGATTTTGATAGTTAATGTAATTATAAATATAGTCCTAAGAGTCTTTACAATAACATCCAAGGTCAATTAGATATCTCCATATAAATAATCTCGAAATTCAAGTCCTCAAGTTTAGTTTCATATACCCAAAAGTTATCTGGGCAACGTCTAGGACCAAGCTGATTATTTCTATTCTTGGTGGCTGTGCTTTCAACTGACATCCAATAAAAGTTCTACTCCTTCTATATTATATCGTAAAAAGTCCACCAAATGGCATACGAAGTCATGTGAGAATGTACCATCTGTAATTGACGACTTCTCTTTCTTGTACTTTTTTCATTCCAAATTGTATTTCTAATAAAATATAAAAAATAAGGTTACATATTTATTTAATCATTTAGACCCTTGTAATCAATATTTTTTTTAGAAATTTTACATATAATAATTAAAGAAAGAAAATGTTGTACATACATGGTATTTAAAAAAAAATTTGTTACTTTACATAATCCTAACAGTTCAGTAGACATCTCATTCTTATATTTTTTCTTGGTCTTTATTTTTGTCATAAAATTTTGCAATATACCATTCATAAGATAAAGGAAGGTCAAAAATATCAACCAAAAGAAAAAGGTTATCCCAATATCTCGCCTCTTTTAATTTGGTGACAGTTTCTTTTGTTCCTTCTCCAATTCTAATTTTAACACTAATAATTCATAACCATTAAATAATTTCATGTCAAAAAACTTTCTTATGACTTTTATCACCTCACTACGGGTCTGATTCATTTCGTCGACAGTCATTTCGTTGACACCCATTTCGTCGAATGTTCATTTCGTCACAAAAAAACAACCTCATTAAACAAATTTCTCCTCACACTTCCCACGCACTCCGCTTTCCTCACCTAATTGCTTAACTAACTTCACACACTCCTCACATCTAACTCGTTCGGTCTCTGGCTCGAGGATGAAATAATTTTTGACGAAATGAACATTTGGTGGAACAAACTTTCGACGAAATAATTTTCGACGAATTAAACGCGACCGAATTTGAATCATTTTGTTGTACTGTAAATAAAATTCAAAAATTACTTTTTGAAAAAAATTTCGTTTTCTTGTATATAGTATTAGTATCAGTATAATTGTTACGCATGTTACGTAAGTGGGATAAAAAATTCTAACAAAAATTTTTATATATACAGTATATATTAACAAGTGGGATTTTTTATATCTATTTATATACAGTATATATTAAACAATGTCAATAGAAGCACATGAAGAAACTTCAAACTTATCGAACAATAATAATAACAATAGAGGCTTCTTTGTCAATAATTATAATGATTCTAACATTAATAACAATATTAGTTATGATAATTAAAGAGAAACAACGTCAAAACAAATACATTTACAATCTCAACGTTCACAACCTAATCCTTCTTTACAATAATCTGAATAGTTATAAAATGTTCGTCATCAAGGATCGCAACCATTTCATCATAACAACAATAATCCAGCATCAGAATCTCTGTTGCTTTCTATTGATTTACCATATTATTTGATAAGTAAAACATGGACAAGTGAAAATTAGGAACCTACTAAGAAAACTTGCTAGAAAAAAACTATAGACAATGTAAATGATGCATCAAGAATGTGTAAGGAGGCTGTATTTAAAGTAAAGGATCTGGGCAACAAAAATATTTTGCAGCTGCAGATGCATGTTCTGCAATATAATATCAAGGTTATAATCGGAGCTGTAAATCAATTGATTTTGGTCAAGGGGAAAGAGTTGTAGATATATGTGGTGAAAATATTCATGAAAATATGACGAAAAGGAGAAAATAACAATAAATTGTTTATTTAAGATTCTTCATTGAAACGTCAGATGATGGTCAGCTTCGATTTGTGGATGGTAACTCAAGTGTCGACCTCCTCTCAACTATAGAGACCAGCAACGTCTAAGGTTTGGGTGCATTTTACCAAAGAGCTCATTAGAAATTCTAAAAGTCATTTTCTGCTAAATGCTTCAACGTAGAGAAGTGTCAAGACTTGCAAATTACTGTATTTGATGTGACATCGAAATAAGAAAGAGTATCTTGAATAAATTAATCAGGGAAATGTTAGACGCGATAGCTTTTCACTTTCTTCAGTACAAAAGGTGGTTATTTTTATGATTATTGTGAAGTTAATAAAACTGAAAGTTATTTATTATCAGAAACGGAGATGATTATTCAAAACAAGAACATAATAGTGTTAATAATAGTCCTACAAACAATGAAGTTAATAAATAATCTTGGAAATAATT